GCCTCTTAGAGTTGGTAAGACAACTCCCACCTGTTCATGCTCTCTGTATGTGTGTATATATATCTCCTCAATATATGTTTCACTCTATATGCATCCGAAGAAGTGGGTTGTAGCCCACGAAAGCTTATGCTCTAATAAATTTGTTAGTCTCTAAGGTGCCACAAGTACTCCTGTTCCCCTAACATAGTTGCAACTGTAATGCAGGCAGTGTCTAGTAAAGAAAAATATGTCTTGTCATTGTGTGGCCATTTAAATAGATTTTTGAAAATACCTTTCAATTCATAATTAAAAGGGATGCTGCCAGCTTGAAAGTCTTCTTACTGTGTCACTAACACCTATGTTAATAAAACTAAAAAGGGGGTTTTAAAACACCTCACTTATCACTAATTGGGTTGGCTGTGCATTTTTTGCAGTTCACTCAGCTTGCCAATGAAAGCTTCCCACGTAGCCTGTTTCAATTTTTGGTTGTCATATGCTTGCATGATATAGTGTTGGGTTGCAAATTTTGCAAGGGAATGTTTACAGTCCAACAAGATATTTTTCATTGCATTTAAAAAAAACAATTAAAACATTATAAACCTTATGGTTTTGTAAAAATCAAAAACATATTAAAACCCAGACATTTTGGGTCACTTCAAATGTTTCAAACAATGAAAAGATCCATCAAGTGTGCTCATATCAAAGACTCTGCTGCTAACTTTTAGTCTTTCCAAACAAACTTCTGACAATTTTCAGTAAACCAGAAAGGGGAAACACCACTCTTACCTTCCATCTGCATAATCTGCATCCGCACCTCCCCACCAGACATCGGAATCGTCTTCCTCAGCGTCAGCTGAATCAACATTGTCACTTTCATCTGCTAATGGACAGCAAACAAACTCCACACCACGGAACTTGTCAATTCCACAGGGCAGCAGCATACCGTAATCATGCAGATTCATACTCTTTTCACTACAGGACTACAAAAATAAAGAGAACAGTGACAACATTGTTAGACAGTGAGCTGGCCAAGGAAAAGTTGGCATAGATGTTAAGAAAATAAAAGTCTGTGTACAGCCTGAGAAAATTAGAGTTAGCTTGTTAATTGATCTCTCAACTATTGTGACTGATAAATTCATTCAGCGTGGGAACATGGGCACCCAACCACAGTCTAGTATTTTAGGCAACAAGCTTTTCCTTCTCATCAACTCTTCTCCTTGCCAAAAGAGTTCATCCCCTCACATACACCTGACAAATCCTACATCCTCTTACCTAGAACTACTTTGAGGGTTTGCTTTTGCTGTGCACAATTAACCACTGGAGAGTGACAGTTTGCCCTTCCTATGTAATAGTGCTATTGAAGAGGAGATCAACACCTAACGCACTTGATACATTGAGGTTTGATTCCTCGTTTAGTATGGTACCTTCTAGCCATATTGGAAAAGTGTTAATTATGCATCACTTAAGAGGTTGCACAAAACACTTAAAAGACAAAACCACACAGAACATCTGGAAAAGAAGAAAACATTTAAATGTTTTCACCCCTCAGCATGTCATTGTGAGCTGATATTACAGGGTCAAACAGACTTCCAGGAGGGTCCATGCAAAATGGTAATTTGCAACTCTAAACTCTTGTCAGTTTACCTTTAAGAAGACATATACCTACAAAGACTAAGATATCATTTGGATGCATGACACCTACAAAATTAAGTTTTAGATGGTCTTTAATAAAATGTCAGTGAGTTGTAAAATCATATGTTCTGTGCTTTGTATCAGTTTTACACATTGTCCTCACAAGTTTCCTTGTCCTCTCTCTCTCTCTCCTATTTCTTTCCCATCCCCCTTCTTGACCTCATTTGTTGTAACATCTCTGAGATTAGATTGTAAATTCTTTGAGGCCGGAGTCATGTCTTAATTCTGTCAAGCACTTAGCACAAAATTATACTACTACTACTACTACAAGTGAGTGAGTCAAGCATTAAAGGTGATTAAAAGGAATTAGAGAGCTTAATACAGCCATGTACGATGTGGGACAAAAGTTTATGGAAATAGATGTTCTTATTTTCCAAGCACGGAGGAGTGACATTACAGATGTAATCTTAGTTCTTCAACAGAAGAGCAATGTTAAGTCAACCTGATAAGTCAACCTCCACAAACACTGGAACTTGCATAAAAAAATCAGGAGTGTTCAAATTTGAGAATATGGTATAAAACAACAACAATATGAAAATTCAATCATCAACTCTACATGACACATCAAGTTACAAAATAATACTGTTTATGAATCAAAATAAACTTAACAGAACTTTTCCTGGTTTTCTCCTAATTAAAAGCACCAATTCACCACCCAGCAATAAATATTTACAAATACAACTGTGTCCTCACCATTTTCAAAGAATCATAGAATATCAGGGTTGGAAGGGACCTCAGGAGGTCATCTAGTCCAACCCCCTGCTCAAAGCAGGACCAATCCCCCAATTTTCTCTATAACAACACTATTGTAATTAGATGCATCCCAGGAAAGTGATACAACTTGAAAGAAAGATGGCTAGAAATGTCAAGATAAATTATATACTGTACCTCTTTAGCAACAGTGTGCCAGTGCAGGTGAGTTTCACATATATCCATCCTTTCCTGGTGGAGGAACTTGCACTTATCTGGCACCAGAAGGGCATCACTCACAAACTCACCAACTGGAAGAAAACAATATGAAGTCTTCATTTCACTCATGATTTCAGTCTCCCAATTTTTGTTGTTAAAACTTAACAGTAAAGAAGTCAACCTCCAACTAATAGAGGCTAATGAGAAAGTTTCCCTGACAGACAGGTTACTCAATACTTCCCCACTATAAGGATTCTTTAACTTTCTATTGACGAATGTGGTACCAGTACCTTCCAGAGAGTCAGGATACTCTCTGGTCTAATCCAGCGTGGCAATTCCTATGTTCCTAATACAACATCTCCAGGACCGAAAACTTCAATGGTCTTTACCATTAAGTTAGTGTTTGCTGTGACCTGGCTATCTGACAAACATTAAAACATGAATCTGAAGAATATTGGAACATATTTACATTCTTTACATCCAGAACAAATTTGACACCAAATCACCATTCCAAAACATTCTAAAGATTTTAGTAAATGACAGGGCATTGTTATTGTGTAGCTTTAAAAAAAAAAAAAAGGTATTTTAGTCCCTTTTCAGCTTAACTCAGTTTCACCAGCAGGATAGCACACAGGTTAACTGAGAAGGTTAATGGTACTCTGAAACAACATCATAACAACACACTGAGATCATCTGATTGTCAGCTCTGTATACCAAGTTAATGCGTGATCACTGCCTCTGTCTTGAGCACTATACCTTAATTAGCCAGGAGGGATCCACCTGCTGTACAATTAAAGAGTGTTGAAAAACACACTCGGGAATAAATGTCTACAGTGCTGGTGTTTACGATTATGGGGGAAATATGATGAACAACATGATTTATTGCACTGCAATCATAATTTTGTAGTAATTCTGGCATTGCAGGTTTTTTTTTTTAAAGTTACAAACATGGAGATATTGGACAAATAACTAGCAGGAAGCTGTCAGAGAACTGATATACTCTATTGTATGGATGTTGTCTGGACAGTAGGAAGACGAAGTTACCTACCTTGGTATCTGGAGAGTCTTTGAGATGTGTCACCCCTATCTGCATTCCACTGTGGGTACACCTGCACTCCATGCGCCTGGAGCTGGAGCATTTTGAAAGCGGTGTCTGTTGGTGTGCACAGGCACTCTCGCCCTCTTGTGCCTCTGTCTAAGGCGATAAAGGGTGAGGCAGTGCACTTGCCTCTCCAGTTCCTTCTCTACCGGGAATCCAAAATATGAACTGAAGAAGAGGGGAAGTAGGGTAGGAAGTGGAATGCAGACAGGGACCAAATATCTCAAAGAGCTTCCAGTAACAAAGGTGAGTAACTTCTTCTTTCAGTGCTGGTCCCTATGTGTATTCCACTATAGGTGACTGACAAGCAATACTTAAGTAGGAGGAGGAGTGCGAGGATGCAGATGACAGAGCCAAATGAACGACTATCATTCCAAAGGATGCCTCAGCAGCGGAGACCTGAACTAAACCTTAATGCCTCGCAAACATGTGGACGGAACTCCATGTGAGCTGCTTTGCTGATATCAAGTAAAGGTACTTCTTGAAGCAACGCCATAGATGTTGCTTGAGCACTTATGGAATGGGCCCTTACCCCATGAGATGGGGGAGGAAGATCAGACAGCTTATACTATTAAGTTAGTGTATGCTGATAGCAGAGCAAAATAAAGCCTGAGATCCACTTAGAGATTCTTTGGGAGGATATAGCTTGACTCCAGACTCTTTCTGCTATGGCAACGAATAGTCTAGGAAACCTTTTTGATTGATTTTGTGGTCAACAGCAAAATGTCTGCTGGCACTTTCTGGGTCTCTAGAAGATAGTCTGATGTGACTACTGGTGCACCTGTTCCACAGACTGCTTCCGCACACTGTGGGATGCATCTCGTTCCTCCCTGTTTGTTGATGTAAAAGATGGTCATGATATTGTCTGACATCATGCGGGCACTGCAATCCTGAATAAAAGGAGAAAGGCTTTGCAAACCCTTTGAACTGCTCGCAATTCCAAAATACTGGACAGCATTCTGGACTCTTGAAATGTCCAGGTGCCCTGCACTGTATGGTTGCCCAAGTCAGTTCCCCAGTCCAACAGGGAAGTGACTGTAACAGTTGTCCTATCCGATGGGGTAGCAAGGAAGGAAACGCCCAAGCATACATGGTGAGGATTCTTCTACCATACCAGAGATGATAGTACTTTGGCAAAACAGCTATTATAGTGCTCATGGACTGCTGGTTTGGTGAATACACTTTTTGAACCTATTCATTGGCAGGTAAGGGCTTGCTGTGATTGAATTTAAGGATGTCCTGATGAAGTCTAAATCTGCGTCGGGGTGAAGATGGAGTTTTCGGTGTTTACACTCCCCCTCAAGTAGGAGAGGAGTTGCATCATTGCCAAAGCCCAACTGCAGCCTCATGGCCTTTTCTACTGGATGCTTTCTGAGGCAAAGTTTCCACCCCTCTCAGAGAACGATTGGCATATACTGCACTTTGCTGCGATGTGAGGTTTTCCAAGGCAGTATAAGCAGCACTGATGGTTATCATTGACTGAGAAGTAGCACAGGCACAAATTTAAGCCAGGAGTGGTAGGCATAGTACTGTACTGAAACACGGTCTGGGGGTGTATAGGGGGCTCCCCAGGTCAGGGAGGTGAACTAATTACAAAACATTTAAAACTATAAATCCTAACGTCTTCTAAAATCTATTTACAGATACATTTCATATAGGTGTGTGTGTGTGCGCGTAGATAAAGGAATAAAGATGAAGCTCCGGATATTAGAGGTTGCAACCCAGACTATGTGATGGTAAGAAGGAACTGGAGAGGTGGTTACCCATTCCACCCTTTATATCCTCAGTCAGGGGCAAAAAGAGGATGAAGGAGCATGTGCAGACCAACAGATACTGCTTTCAAAATTCTTCAGCTCTGGCGCATGGAGTGCATGGGTACCCACAGTGGAATACAAATAGGGACCAGCACTCAAAGAAGAATACATGATTCAAGTGGCATGAGTTTATCTGCTCCCTGAAGCATACTTGTTTCTAGCAACCTCCAAGAAAATTAAAGTACTCACATTTCAAATGAATGAACAAAAATGGTCCAGTGCTTACATGTTGAAATAATGGTTAAATGAGTTATAATGAAGTAATTATATGTTTATTATTAGGCAAGGAAACGTGCTGGCTACTGACTCTGTGCTGGCTCTTGAGAATTACTTATTGATTTAAAAAGTCTGCTTTAAAAATTAACTAACAGGGAAAGTTTTTCAATATCACACTTCAGCAAAAGGAGTGTGCCTCCATTTGCTAATGATCGATGATATTTGTAGTCCAACTGATTTTTTTCTCCTGTATTCGATGCTAGTGATTTTAAGTAATTAAAAGCCAAAGTCAGCAAATTTCAGGGGGGGGGGGAAGGGAATGGATTTTATCACCCCAGTGTGCCACACCATAATGCTTGCAATTTACTTACAACAATAACAAAAACCCCACAGGGATAGATTATTACTCTGCATTCACAATGAGTTTGTGAGCTCCGTGGCCTCATGGAACCGATAAGACACAAACATTTGTAGCTGCTGTGCAGCACATTCAGCCTCTGCTGAATGGTGCCGAAGTGAGATAGAGGCAACAGTCTCTCTGGCCAGTGACTTATAAGGAAGCAGGGAACTGAATCATAGAATCACAGAAATGTAGGACTGCAAGGGACCTCGATGTGTCATCTAGTCCAGTCACCTGCACAAAGGCAGGACCAATATTTTGACCATCCCTAACAGGTGTTTGTCTGCCCTATTCATTAATTTCTGTCCTGTCCTCAGTGGACAATTTATCACCCTCTCCTCTTTATAACAACTTTTACATGCTTGAACACTATCATCACGTCCTCCTCTCCCCCCAGTCTTATCTCCAAACGAAACAAACCCATTTTTTCCAATCTCTCCTAATTTTTTAGACCTTAAAGCATTTCTCTTACTCTACTCTGGACATTTTCCAATTTGTTCACATCCTTCCAGAATTGGACACAATATTTCAGTGGAGGCCTTATCAGTGCTGAGTAGAGCGGAAGAATTACTTCTTGTGTCTTGCTTACAGCACTCCTGCTAATACATCTCAGAATGGTGTCCACTTTTTTTGCAACAGTTTAACACTGTTGACGCATATTTCGTTTGTGATCCACTATAAACCCCAGATCCTTCTCTGCAGAACTTCTTCCTAGGCAGTCATTTTCCATTTGTGTAATTGATAATCAATTTGTCTTTTTCTTAAGACTCATCATTGGTCAAATCAAGCAAGGCAACAATGGCACTTCTAGAACTGAGAGGCAAAGAACTGGACTACAGAGGTGTGATTTTCACTAATCACATCCCTAACCCACAGCGGGATTGTTAGTTTAAAGCACTGAAGATGATGCAGGTTGGAACACTTTAGAGATATGTTCCACCTCTTTATCAATGGCTGAATTAGTAGTATGCAGTATACTACCATCTAAATGAAGCTATGGGTTACATCTTCTGAGGTTGAATACTATGCTGTTCACTGCACTTTAGATTCCTGAAAGCTGCACTACAAAGAAGAGCTGTTGGACCACTAACTCAGGGCAATGCTGGGTAGGGAGAAATGCCCTGGCATCAGGAAAGGACAGAAGTTTACACAGTGCTTTACAAAAAGGGATTGAGACATACTCCATGCCCCTGCTATCGTAAAAGTCTGAAGAGATAAAGGACATTTTTATAAAGTTATATTTAAATAAAAATCCAAGAAGAATGAGATTTTTTAACATTGACATATGACCAGATTCACCCTTAGTGTAACTCCCCTAAAGTCAAAAAAGTTACACAAGGAGCGTGGTTGATCCGCAGTGTCAGAGTACAGAAAATTATAGGCTTCAATTAACAAATGTATCTTGATAGGATATAAAATTGATTTACCTTAAATGCTGACTCTAATTGTACTGTCATTCTTAATCACTAAATTCCTCCAACATAATTTTGCAAATCATACACATTAAATAGTACCATTTTCCATGCATCCTATGATGGCACAAGATGCATGAGGACAGCTTGT